TGGGCTACCGCCCAGGTTTAGGTCACTCTTCTCCCCCAGCACTCAAAAAAAGATACAGACATTAGAGTGGGGGGTGGGGGTGGTGGGGGCTGAGGGAAGTAGCAGTGATAGCCATTCGTCACCCTGCCTATCTCGCTCTGACAGATGGGGAGTGTGGCGTGCCACATAGAGGAGTCACTGCCTGTAATGACATTAGAGGCACAATGAGACCTGATACACATTTTTTCTGTTCCCATCCTGCCTGGCCATCGACTCGCTCCTTTGCTTGATCCTTCCCCTCCTCTCATTTCTGCTGGTATATCTCCATCCATCCTGACAGGAGATAAAGTGCTGTGTACCACCATTTCCAAATAAAGCACAAACACACATAAACGCACTCACAAACACATCCACATTTATGCCGGCACACGCGGATATAGCTACATCAAAAACACAAAGAAGAATCCTCCAAAAATCTACACATCTGAAAAAAAAACTTTAATGTTCTCCAGGAAAAAAAAAAGTCTTCTACATGACAGAAATGCTCAAGAAAAAAATGGAGCACTGTGAGTGTGTACTGACATTCAGATTGTATTTGGAAAACCATATTAAAGCGCTTTTTTTCGTCCTCCTCTTCAACGAAATGGGAGTTTATTTAAAAAGAGAGAGCGTTTATTTAATGTACCATACACCTCCTAAAAGGTTTACTTACTGCAGTGTAATATGTTATTTCAAATCCTCACAACCACATTTCCTAGGAGGATAGGGGATACTGGCGTTATATATATTTTTTTTTTCAGGACACATGCTATTACCAAATGTGTTGCAGATGTACCATGAGCCTCGCTGTGCTGCCGAGGTGGGGTTTCTTGGAAAAACATCGCCAATCCTGTCATGATAAATCACCTTCCCCAATTTGCTATAACGTGTAGAATTAGGATTCGAGAACATCAGCATCAGCAGAATTCTACACACGTTGCATTTATCGGCATCCCACTTTCATTTTCCCTCACAATTCTCTGAATGCAGAAACAATCTTAAAGATAATTGGGTGCAACTTTTGTTCTTGGAACTAAGATTCAAGTGCATTGCTACTCATTTGTTGTCACATCCCTCCTCCTCGTGCACAAACAGAACTGCAGCTGTCTTTCAAAGTGACGAATTAGTCCTGAGCATGAGTCAAGGTAAAGTTCCTCTTTCTGCCCCCCGATTGATTCACAGGAGTCGTCTTCAGTGTCTGTCCTCAATAACGAAGCCGCATTAACAAGCACCCTACAGACTGTCTATTAGAATGTGAAAAAGCGCCATGTGCTGTATATTAGTTTTTAGTGACTAAACACTTGGGAGAGAGGCGACCTAGAATCAAGCCTTGTGGTGCACTGAGTGTATATGTTCTCATCGTCCTCTCAGCTCCACTTCTGAGACACACAGAGAGAGAGAGAGAATGCTCATTAGATCTATGTGCTGAATCGCTGCTCCCTCTCCATCTCTCCCATCCTCCCCCAACCTTCATCCCTCTTTCTCTCTCTCTCTCTGTCCGTCTGCTTAACAGATGGGAGGGTCGTGGGTACAGCTCTTCCCCTCCCCCTGGAGAGGCCTGGTGCCTGTTCAAAAGATCCCTCTTTATGCTTCACTCCATTTTCCTCTCTTTTCTCCATTTCTCTGTTTTCCTCTCTCCACTCTCCTTCTCTTTCATTGTCACCTCTCCAACTCAAAGCACAGAGAGTTGGGACCCGGGATATAAAACAAGCAGAGGAGCAACCGTTGTCCTTCTGTCTGCTTGGTGCCAGCGTGCTCTCTGACCTTAGCAGCCTCCCGCTCCGGCCCCCTTCCAGCTACCAGGCTAGTGTGAACGCAGGCATACCATTAGTCAGACTCCACAGAGAAGATAAAGATACCCTTTTGTGTATTCTTTATTTTCCACAGCTCATTCCCTCTTTCCCTGTGCCTCACTTTGGGATTAGTAAATTGGCTTAATGTGTACAAGCTTGTTAGTTCTCTCTTCTGCGTCGCTCTATGTGTCTTCATCTTCCCTCGTTTCTTTCTCACCTCAGTTGCCCTCTCAAGGTCAGGTGTCAGTGTCTGCCCCTGTGAAAAATTCCTGCTGAGGATTACTGTCCCGTGCCACTTGACCACGCTCACTAAGCAGTGCTTGTTTCCTGCATTTCCCTCCGTTTCACTGTCTTGGCGTCATGAGGCTAAATTGGATTGAGTGATTCAGTGGTAATCTGTTAAGTTAAGTGATGCTCTATCCACCACGAGGGAAGGAGACGGAAGGAGAGGGAAGGGAGCCCGGTGAGGAGGTGGGTACTCAGTTCTTATCCAGGAGCTGCCTGGCACTCATATGGGACGGGGGCGGGTGTGAGGAAAAGTGGGGTGGTGGTGGAGGGAGAGGGGGGAGGAGTGGGGACGGAGGGAAGGGAACTTGCGTCGTCGTGTAGGAGGAGGTAGAGGAGGCAATAGTGAGAAAAGATGGGGGGGGGTTGGCTGAGGTGGGGAGGCACCGACACGGGGCTAAGCGGCAGCAGAGCCTCACCTCAGGGAGCGTTGGCTAGTGCTGGGAGCCAAAAGCAGGGATTAAATGTTCAGGACACGGGCTTAGTCTTAGCGTTAATGTTACGTAAGGCCTAAGGTGTTGCCCCAGCGGTTGTTGACATTGAGAGGTTCAGCTCTGCTCAGTTGGCTGTGGGAGGAAACGAGGAGGAGGAGGAGGCCAGGAGGCAGGGATCACAGAGGTAACGCCTCCTTGTTTGGAGCGATGCCCGGGCTGGGTAGTGTTGAGTACAAAGACTGGGAGGGAATGATGCTGTCAGCCTGTGATTGAGGTACGCCGGCTTGATTGATATCCTTGTCTGGCTGTCTTGTGCCAAGCGCCTTGGTGTTGGCTTGTAATCCTAGTTTGTCTGACAACATCCTTCTTTGTTTTTTTCCAGAGGGCAGCTCTTTGTTTTTCTGTCTATGGATGGGTGTGTTTGCGCAGAGCAATGCTAAAATGTTTTGGATAGCCTCTTCAGAGCTGCCACAGAGTTATTTTAGATCTTGTTATTATTATGATGGTGCAGTCCGGCTGTTGTCCTAACTGCCAAATGATGCATTTATGTTTGTATCTCATTTCTTCCATAAGTGGGCGTATTCCAAACCATCAACTCAGGAAGTTTTTTGTCATGCATTTCATCATTGTTCAAATTGTATTGTCTCACTTTGTTTCCCATTTTTTGTGTGATGGAAGCTTTTGGCAGAGAATTATATACAAATTAGTTGATGTTATTCTTTAAAAATGTCTAAATCTATGTTATGCATATGGACTCCGAAGGCCCACATCATCATACTAGTCTTGGCTATAACTCTACTCTACTCATTTTGAAAAAAATCGAGCAGGTGGTACTCAGCCTGTGTTTTGTGTTGAAAATGAAAAGATCTGCAGTTATGTATTACAGTTATAGGCCTTGGTCTGTCACTAAGAGCCACAGTATCCCTAGATGTCCCTATTACGCGCTTTGATTGTCAATGTCCTACTCTCACACAAAGAGGTCAAGTGCATAGCAATGTGCTGCGCTCACCTCAGGGGTTTAGAGCTTTCTTGTGCTTTCTCATGCATGTTACTCAATAAATACATGGATTCAGGTTAGGGGAAGATGAAAAAAAAAAGGAAAGAAGGGGAAAGGAAGTGCATTACAATGTGCATGGATGTGTGCGGGAGTGCGCAAAGGAGAGAATATGAGAGAGTGAGGAAGAGAGCAAGGGTGTATGGAAGAAGAGAGAGAGAGAGAGTGATAGAGAGAGAGACTGAGACTGACATGTCTTTTGGTGAAGCGGTGTCGTCTTCCACATCAGTGTCTGATGCTTGTGCTGCCAGGTGCCGGAAATCTGGTTCAGAAAGGAGAGAAGAGAGAAGAAGGGGAAAGTAGAGAAAAAAAGGCAGGGGAGATGGAGGATTTTTTTTTATTTTTTTTATGTGACGGCGCTGACAGCTCCCCTGCATTGCACTGAGCTTAAATAATGGGATGCTCATTTGCATAACGAGGGACGTTATCACCTCTACTGTCAAAAGAAAACACAACAACAGTTCTTCTGCTCCTCCCTGAGATAGATTGGGTTGGCCTACTTTAGCACTCTGGAGAGATGCACTGGAGCTCTGGCTTAGCCAAACTCACACAAGAACACACACACACATGTGCGCACACACACATGCACGCACACACGGACACACAGTCACTCACTCACGCAAACTTTTTGGAGCGCAGCTTTCTTCTTTGCACATGCAGTCCAGCTCATCAGCTGCTGGCCTCCACTCATGAAACTCTGGTACACACACACACACACACAAATGCACAAGTGCATTTATTCAGATGCTCCTCAGATGCCCTCATTGACATGCAATGTCTCCAGCTGGAATAAGTTCATGTTGGAATTTTGTTTAATATAATTCCTGTCTCTAAGAAACGTCCTTTTACCATGAAAAGATCACTCTTGGCACTTTTTTTCTTTTCTTATTCTATTGTTTTTTGGCTTTGTTTTACCAGAACATGGCAAGACTGAGCTTGGTTTTACATCTGTATTCTACCCTGCAACTCACTTCTGCCATTTTGGAGATGAGCTGCAGATAGAGTAGAAAAAGCTGTGTCTGGCAGTTCCACTGTCAATACAGTGCAGTTCGTGGGAAGAAACAAAATGTATTTCTCAGTCTGGAGGTAATGTTACAGTGTTGGTGATTAGAGCGTTTAAGTTAGCGGCACTTCCAAAACACTGTCAAACTCTCTGTGAACGAAGCGAGATCCTGACAGCGCTGTCTCCTCTCATAGTCGGTGCCTGGGAAAAAAATGCAAAAACTGATTTGCATGATATCGACAGTGAAAAACACAGCGGTTCTCACAACATTGTTGACAGATTCTTTGTCTTTCTTCACCCTCCCTTGTGGCTGCCATGATGCCACTTTTATTATTTTTTCTCTCAGTATTTTGCCATATTTCATTTCATTTAATGCTCATTCTCTCCTCCCCCTCCCCATTTCTTTCTTGCAGGTACGGATGCTGGAATCTTTGAGTTGATTGGAACAAATAGAAAGCAGAAAAAAAGGCAGATAAAGAAAGAGCAGAAGAGTGAAGAGAAAGAAGAAGAAAGAGGAGAGTGAAGAAAGCATAAAGTTCTTTAGAAAGAGGAGAGAAAGAAAGAGACGGGGACGATGGGGAGGAAAAAGATTCAGATCACGCGGATTATGGATGAACGCAACAGACAGGTAAGTCCCTGGGGGATGGGAGGATGGATGAGTATGAGGGTGGGGAAGAGGAGGGGTGGAGGAGGGAGGAAGGAGAAACACCCTACACCCCACATAGCCCTCAACAATGAAGGTCTTCTGGGAGTCGGGGCAATATGTGAACCGGGCGACAGAGAAGTGTATGCGGGGATATTGCTCTGGGTGGAAGAGTTCCATCGGTTCGTAAAGGCAGGTTTGTTTCCCCCTCAATCTAACAAACCACTGTGAGGACACCTGGAGCCTTTTTCCAAAAAGGGATTTGCATGAGAACATTTGTAATTCTTAAAAAACATTCTGCATATCCCTGCCCGCTCTGAGGGCTGCGGCCTACACACAACTGTAGTACCCTTCACACACCCAACCTCTCACACCATGCCACCCAGTTTAGCTCACTGGCAGTGGAATATTACCGGGCAGAGGGTGGTAGCACCAGAGAGGCAGGGTGGGAGAAAACATAAACAAGCAACCAAACAGAGATGGGATGGTCTGAAGTGACACACTACATTTGGGCCAGCAGGGTGGAGATGAAGGGCAGCCTGGGAGACAAACACTGAAACAGTATTTTTCTTGAGCTAAATGAGTAACAGTAGGACTGCTGTAGCTTTCCCCTGTGTAGCATAAGAGATACGCCTTTAAACCAGAGTTACTGTACATCATAATAAAACTGGTCAAATAGCAAACCTAACAATGGAATTCTTGCAAGACACTTTTTCAACAACAGCTGGCATTACTTGAGTGAGACATAATAAATTGTGGACGGCGTGATTCAAGCAGACACTACCGTCTGTGGCAGGAAATAGATAGAGACAGAGCTCTCTCACTGCCCCCGAGGCCCACAATTGATCATTTCCTGTGGCACGACTGACCACTGACACTTTGTCAGCTTCCTGGCAGCCCAATTGGATCCATACGCTGCTAACGTGGCCCCTGGATCACAGGTCAAACACGCACATAGACACACACACACCTTGTCTGAACAGAGACGCGCTTCATTCCTTGTGCCACATCTTTATGATCTGACATCGTAATTGTCCACAACCATTTCTCGCAGCGCGCTTAATCAAACACAGTCATTTGTGGTCAAAGTGACATAGAGAGACTCAAGGAATCGATTGGTCAATGCTGGAGAAGTAATTGAAGCAGATTGTGACCCCTGTCAGGACACATCTCAATGAATGTAATTGCAAGTAACAAGAGGATAGTGAGAGGGGAGTGAGAATGTGACTGAACCTGAGATAAAGAGGATACTTCCAGTAATCATGATTTTACTGTCTGTGATACGCAGCTGCTCATCTTGAAAACAGGGTGCCTTTAGAGTCACACCTGCAGCACAAAAATGAGAGAGTGAGAAAGACACATAGGAAGAAAGTTTTAAAAATCAGTCAGGGAGAGTGTGTGACAGTACGCATCTATGTGCTCCGTATTCTGATTTATGTATCTGTTATTGAAAGAGAGGCAGGCAGACAGAGAGACAGAGGAAGAGCAAGGAGGAGGTCACAGAGTTTTAGATGAGGACTAAAGCTATCATGTTGCAGCAGCACCCACACTTCCTCCTTACTGTTATCTCAGCCCTTCTCTCTCATCCCACCTTAGACTAGGCCCGCCAGTTGCACCAGGCACTCCGGCTCCTGCGGATAAGGAGGGAAAGAGGGAGACAGGAAGGACACCTGAGGGGAATCGATGCCTGAGATATCCGGGCTTTACTTACAGGGGAGGAGGAGAGAGGGGAGAAGAGAAGGAGGAGAGAGAAAGGGTTCAGGGAAAGGAAAATCAATACATCACTGGATTTTGTTGTTTTGATCTCTAAAATGATAAATAAACCTATTTAGTTGTTTGTTTAAGTCAAACCACAATTCCTACTGATATGATGTCATTAAGTCATGTGGAAAATACAACACGCAAACAGAAAATATGGCATTCAGTGTCATTAGACCTTTGGTCTAAATAAATGACATCACCATATTTTGTAGAGGCGGACATCACAAGACAGAGACAGACACAGAAACTTAAATTTTCTTCTTAAAAGAAAAAAAAAAACAAAACAAAAAAACGGAAGCTTTGGATTTGCATATTTTCACTTCCTTCTTGAGGAAATGTCCCAGAGCCGAAGCCAAATAAACACCAGAGGAATTTGTGTAATGTTGCTTTCAACCTCACATTCTTTACATACTTGTACTGTTTTATGTTTAAAAAGTTTTCCGTCTTCTTAAAGCTCTTCTGTGGTCTTCTGCGGCTCTCTATTGTTTTTATGATCTGTACATAACATAATATAGTGAAACATATTTGACGTAATTGAATATCCAACACCTCATAAACTTGTATAAAACAGAAAATGGTACAATTCCTGTTTCAGTCCAAAATAGCAGTATAAAGCTATTGTAATATTTCCCCTTATTCTTAAATGCCTGCATACACACTTCACACTGCAGCCCTCTTTGGAGTGGCACCACTCTGTGTGGCTGTCAACGCTACCTTGCCACCTACAGGGCCACACTGCCTCCCCACCCCTGCCCTCCCTGCAGCAGCAGTATCATAGTGGGCACAGGGCCTGGCTCTCTCTGGGCGGCCACTTTGGGCTGCCACCCCCAGGCCCAGAAACACTTCCCCAGAGCAGGGGCAGAAGGGCCAGGCCTCCCTGGCGTTGACTGGCTGCCCGGAGCTCTGGACAGTGGGCAGCAGTGTGTGAGCCCTGGCTCCAAGCCCCCCGACCACTCAGACCCTCTCCCAGCCTCGGGCACATGAAAGAGCCCCCTGTGCCATAAACTCATGGGCTGCACACAGAGAGCAGACTCTCTTGCCCCAGCTAGCACACACACACACACATATAGGCACACACAC